TTTTTTTTTTTTTCTTTTTGCGAGAAATTACATAATCTCATCTTTATGACAAATATTGTAATTCGCAGTAGAGAAATTTTTAATTTTCCGTAATAATATTGAAAAAAAATATATAATCAATTCATTCATTTATGCCTTCATATTATGAACGTTCTAAAAATTATAATTTTGATTAACCATATTTTATAACATTATTTTAATAATTTTATATTATTAAAATAACATTATTTTGTATAAATATAATAACAAGTAAATTTATAATATTTTTCCCATTTTTTCGAAGCGATTCTTTAAAACTGACGTCAAAAGTATTTTATAATTCAAACTTTATAAAAATCAAACGAGAAAAAAAGATATGTATATACCATTGCACGTATACGTTGTTAAAGACATAAAACTTTTTTTTTCTATTAGATTTTATCTTGATTATTTCAATATGTAAATCGTTTATTTCGCATTTATCGATTTATTTCGCAATAATCAATAATACTACTTTATTTCACGTTAAAACTATTTTATTTCTCTTGTTTATTTTTCTATCTTTTAATAAAATAAAAATCGAAATTTTTGTTCAGTTACACAACAATCACTTCGAATTTATTCTCGTAATTGAATAATATTCTCGTATATTGGAATAATTGTTTCAAAAAAAAAAAAAAAGAAACAAAGAAAAGAAAAGAAAGAAATGAAAATTAAATAACAAATAAACTTTAAAAAGAATAAACTGTATTGATTAGAAGTGATACGGAAAGTGCCGGCCGCTATTCCAGAACAGAAGTGGATGGATCTCGAGAAGAACGGAAATCGAGAATCAGTCTGTCTAACCTATTTAAACGCAATAAGGATAAAGTGTCTGGCGCTGACACCGATACCATGAGAACTGTCGTTACAGTGGATGATGAGAAGGTAAACAAGTTATTCTCGAATAATCTTTCTGTCGCGTTACATTCGTTTCAATCAAATATCATATATCCATCTCGGTTAATCGTTAACGCGTTAACTGTTTCTAAAAATTTCCTTTTTCCTTTGAATAAGGGATGCGTATCGATATATTGTAGAAAAAAAATTATACGTTTTTCTTTTGATCTTTGCATATTTAAATTTAATCGTTTCTACGAATCAAGCGATATTATATTTTAATAGCTCTTATAGATAGATAAGTAGATAACATTAATTATGCTTTTTAAGTTACTTATTATATTTTTATATCGATACCAAAAAAAAAAAAAATATTAAATATTCAGTGATTGAAGTGACAGAAAAACTTAAAAAGATTTCGCGATAACCAAGAATATTTTAATATAGAATAGGAAAATAACACGACAAATTCTACTTTAAATCCATCCTTTCTTGTAAAAATTATTTCAAGTGGAATATGATATAAATTATAGAAAACCTTTTAACCGATCGTAAAGCAATGGAATTATAATGGCAATTAACAGGACTGTGAATTCCACAGCATCAAGCAGCATCAATTGCCCAAGATGTTGCTAAACCAACCACGGACGAAGGAGGAATAGTTTATGCCGAATTGGACTTGACGCAACAGCAACAGAATGTTCCAATTCGGCATCTGAACGAGGACAAAACGGAATACGCCGAGATCTTATACACGAAAACATCGACGGAGGAACAACAGACACCCAAGGAGTAAAATTCGTTCGAGAGAGAGAGAGAGAGAGAGAGAGAAAAAATTTTGCGAAACAATCACAAATTTTTATCTTTTTTTTTTCTTCTTCTAATTTTTCGTGATTAACACACATTTGTTACGTTCTTTCGATCCTTTTCAGTATACGATAATCGTCCTTTATCGTATATTTAGATTTTCTACGTTTTTTAACTTATTCTTAATATGAAATGTGAGTGTACGGTGCGAATCGTTTAATAAGAAAGATAGTGATAAAAATGATCGTAGTACTTAAAAAATATTAAACACCGTATGGTTACATCCGACTGAAAAGGATCTAAACGATCTACTTAATATTTCTTTTTTTTTTATTATTATTATTTTTACAAATTACTTTTAAGTTATTTTAAATAATTTTAAATACTAAACGTACACAAGGACATCGAAACATCGACGGTTGAAGAGGAATTCCATTTTTCATAGATCACGCGAAAGTAAAATCGAGATGTAAAATTACGAAAACTTTGAAAATATTTCCAAAAATTTTAAGAATCAAAGAAAGAAAGAAAATTCTATTACACGGTTTGATACAATCAAAATCGGAAACACTTTTCCTTTTTCTGCTTAATTCTAATTAATCTTTTCATACTCGTAGAGAATCGTTTTAAATTTATTCGTAGGAAGCCACGAGTTCACCGCGAGCTTAAATTTTAAGGTGGAAAAAAGAACGAGCCTACTGGTGTTTAATCCGGTAACATATACCTATATAAATATATTCGTTACCGCAGCACATTATTAAACCGTTTTTGCCTTCTGATACTCGTCCATTGCCCGTACAAGATTGAGAAAGATCTAACGTTGAAAGTTGAGCAAGCAAAAATAAAATATATAGTACCTCGTGCGAAAAAAATCAAATGGTTGACGCGGCATCGTAAAAAGTGCATTTTCAATGCAACGATTAAAACCTGATTTATTTCTTTCGTGTCGTTGGGGAAAAGGTCAAGAATTCCATAGAATTTCGCGTAATAAACGAAGCCGAACAATCGATCAAACAATCGAACTTTAGAAATTAATCATTTGAATAAATTACTATGAATAGAAATATAGGGAATAATAGAAATTTTTTTCACTTGGAACACGATAAATTTACTCGTGAATTTACACATTTTACAACGGAACAAGGAATGATTTTTGCTTACTGTTAAATTTCCATCGAATATATCTCTCATGAAAGATACAATTTGATTAAAATTTAGTTCCATTCTCTGTGGATTTTCTTGCCTTATAAATTATTCCCGCGCGAAAGGAGAAAGATCAGAGTTCACGTACTTAAATTCTCTTGTTACTATTGTTACCGCGTGCATTTAGAGCGTAATAAATATGTAATATCTGTATCGTACGTGCTGTTCGTTTGAAAGTCGCTTGAAAAGTTCGCTTCCTGCAAACTGTTACGAATCACATACAAAATCCTAACGAATATCTTATCTAACGAATCTAACGAATTTTACGAAAGTTGAGAAAGAATGAAAGATATAAAAAAATGTAAATGTTGATATATAAACAAAGAATTTTTTGACTCTATATATATATATATATAAATATATATATATATACATTTCTTCATTGATTTAGAATGCACAATATTTTACATTTTATACTATGCGATATAATTGCAGATAATAAAAATACGATGCGTCGGTGTAATTTTCGAATCATATCAAACAGAACGAACCAAGCTGCTTTAAAACGATGTATCCTATGTTTTGTATATTGTGAATTTTCTTATACTTAAATGATATATAATATATATTTATATATATATTATATATATATAATAAATCCTACTAATTTCATTTTGTATCGCTAACAATTATTATTGCGTAATTAATGATAATTAGACGCAAAAAGAAAAATTATACGAGATGCGTCGCGTATTTTTAATATCGATTATATAATATTTGTCGAATATATCGAATATTTGTATAATTTTTTTTTTTTTATAAAAATTAATCGTATTTTATATCGTATTCCATTAAGGCTAAAATCTAAATCTTCTTTTTTTTTTTTCAATTAAATTTGTGTTAAATTATCATCGTAAGTAGAATAAATCCTTTTTTATTTTTATTCATTTCTTATGTATCATTATGCGTATTGTAAAGTTTTTTTTTTTTATTTTAACGTTAATTGCCGTCCACCATTAAACTTATTAATTTGTACGTTTTTGTCAAATAAATTACAATTGGAGATTAATTTGCCTATTTTACTCGAAGATAATTAATGAGAAAACCAAATTTTTACTTTTTAAGAGAATCTTTTGATTAATGTTGGTCTTGAAACCTTGACTTTCAGAAAAAGTCATAAATAAAATCTTGAGGCAAGTAAAAAGAGTTCGATGATCGTAGGGTCCAAGGTGGACCGCTTCGTCTTAACGACCACATCTTCGAATGATTTAAAAAAATAATAAAGGACAATTCGATCCATGCATCGAAGTCATAGAACTCTGGAGTGGTTTACCTTCGCGCGAAACGTTAGAGAAATATCGAACGATACTTCATACATCTACGTATGAGCAAACGTCGAAACGATTATTATCAGTTTTAAAATTTTCCACGTAATTATCATTCCGTATTTTGTTGCTTAATAAATATTGTGCAACAATCTCTCGGAAACAAACGCGCATTATTGCACGTCCATATAAATTACGAAAACATATCGATTTTTTTTACGTTATCTTTTTATTTATAGTCACTTTTATTTATTTATAGTTCATGAAAGCATTTATCGAAAGATTATAAAATATAGAATAATATACGTCTCAATATATAAATACTGACGCACATCCAATGAAACGAAACAAAACGAAACTGGCGTTCCGTGATCCTTTTAGTTGGATAAATCCCAAAAACCACACGTAATAATAAAATATTACATCATATATAAAACAGCGTAAAATACTCTAGGATTTCTAGGAAATCAATTGGCCACAAAATCGATCGACCACGACAACGATCCCACGGAATCATCTATTCACGGATTATAATCAAAATTGCGATATCGAAAAATAAAAGCAAATAAAAGTTTGGCCAAGACACGACACGAGGGACTTTCACCAAAACTTTGGAAAAAATTCGACTCGAGATATATCGAACAAAATAAATTAATGATGTGAATTAGAAGTGAAGAAAATCGAAGAAGAAGAAGAAGAAAAAAAAAATTTCGTTTAATATCCAGTATCATCGGTGGCCTCGGTGGCTTCCGTCTCCGTGAACGTTTCTTCCTCCGTCTCCGCCTCCGTATCGGGCGAGTTCTGCTTCGCCTCTTCCTCGGTAGGCTGAATATCGCCTATCTCGCCTATCTCCTCCCGCATCATCCTCTGCCTGGCCAACATTGGCAGCCGATGCTTGTAAGTCTTGTACACCTCGTTGGCCATGTCGGTGGTGTGGATTCGGAACTGTTGGCGTGCCGTTTCCGTGAGGAAGCTGGTCGCGGCTGTGCACTCGAGCGGCCTCTTCGGTGGCGGTTGCTCGCTCGTGAAATCCATCACCGTTGGATAACCACCGCAAACCTCCAAGAAGTCGGTGATGGACATCTGGGTGGGTAACATGGGCTCGAACGAGTCGACGACCCGCTGCTCGCATTGTTCCGGCACGTGCTCGATCAACCGTGGAT